CCCCAACTCTAGACCAGAACAGCAAATCACTCACTTGGGCTACTCTGTGGCTTATTGGTACATGGTCTTCATTCTATTTGGGAACATTTCACATGTGCTCTTCTTGTTTTCATTCTCTATTGCCTTATTTTTCTTTCCCCCTGAGACAATCTCTCCTTCACTGATGGTTATCAACTAGCAGCTCCCATCTGAGGAGCACTTTTATGTGCATATATTGTACATCTCTTAGCATCAATGATTTTATTTATTTTTATTTTATTTTATTTTTTGTGGGATCCTTGAGTAATTTAAAAAAATTTTTTTTTAGTAGTGAAACACCATGAGGTACAGCTGCAGACTTACACATTTTTGTGTTTGGGTTTCAGTTATATAATGTTCAAGTATATACAAGCATCAATGATTTTTTTTTTTTATTTTTTATTTTTTTTTTTATTTTTTTTATTTTTTTTATTTTTTTTTTCCCCTTTATTTTATTTTATTTTTTTTAAAGTTGTAGATTTACAATTTTTTGTGCTTTGGTTTCAATTATACAATGATCAGATACCCATCCCTCCACCAGTGCCCATTTTCCACCACCATGGATAATATCCCTCCCACCCCCATCCCCCCATCCCCCCGTCTCTGTGGCAGGGCAATCCCCTGTGTTCTCTCTCTCCTTTTGGGTGTTGTGGTCTGCAAAAGAGGCATTGAGTGGCAAACATGTTCAGTCCATAGTCTACTTTCGACATGCATCTCCCCTCCTGGGAGGATCCTCCAAACATCCTTTATTTGGTGCTCCCTTCTCTATCTGAATAGCCCTTTCCTCTAGGATACCCGGCTGGCCTCTAAGTTATGGAGTAATCCTCCTGGTGCTGATCTCAGCTATTCTTGGGTATTAATCTCATACTTTGTTACTTTATATCCCCCAGATGAATGCAATCTTTCTATGTCTATCCCTCTCTTTCTGACTCATTTCGCTTAGCATGATACTTTCCATATTGTACCACTTGTATGTAAATTTCATGACTTCATCTTTTCTAAGAGCTACATAGTACTCCATTGTGTAGATGTACCAAAGTTTCTTTAACCAGTCATCTGTTCTTGGGCATTCAGGTTTCTTCCAGTTTCTGGCTATTGTAAAGAGGGCTGCAATGAACAAACAAGTGCAGATGTCACTTCGACTATACATTTTTGCCTCTCTGGGATATATTCCCAGGAGTGGTATTGCTGGGTCAAATGGGAGCTCAATTTCTAATTTTTTGAGAATCGTCCATACTGTTTTCCAGAAGGGCTGAACCAGTGGACATTCCCACCAACAGTGAAGGAGTGTCCCTTTCTCGCCACATCCACGCCAGCATCGGTTGCTTTTGTTCTTTTGAATGTGGGCCAGTCTCTGAGGTGTGAGATGGTATCTCATTGTGGTTTTGATCTGCATCTCCCTGATGATTAATGATGTAGAGCATTTTCTCATGTGCTTTTTTGCCATTCGGATTTCTTCTTTGAGAAAGTTTCTGTTCATTTCATTGCCCCATTTTTGGATGGGGTTGGATGTTTTCTTCTTGTGGAGTTTAACCAGTATTTTGTATATCCTGGATATCAACCCCTTGTCAGATGTGTATTCGGTGAATATCCTTTCCCATTCTGTAGACTGTCTTTGTATTTTGGTCACTGTTTCTTTGGAGGTGCAGAAGCTTCTTAGTTTAAGATAGTCCCATTTATCTATCTCTGTTTTCACTTGCTTGGCCAGTGGCATGGCATCTTTGAAGATACCATTAGCTTCAATGTCATGGAGGGTTTTGCCAACTTTATCTTCAATGTACCTTATGGTTTCTGGTCTGATGTTGAGGTCTTTAATCCATTTTGATCTTACTTTTGTACATGGTGTTAGGCAGAGTTCTGAGCCTATTTTTTTGCATGTAGCCGTCCAGTGATGCCAACACAATTTATTAAAGAGGCTTTCCTTACTCCACTTCACATTACTTGCACCTTTATCAAAGATTAGATGAGCATATGATTGAGGAGAGATGTCAGTGTATTCAACCCTGTTCCATTGGTCTGCAGTTCTGCCTTTGTTCCAGTACCATGCTGTTTTAATTATTACTGCTTTGTAGTACAGTTTGAAGTTCGGGAGGTTGATTCCTCCCATTTTCTTTTTCCCAAGAATTGCTTTAGCTATTCGTGGGGGCTTATTGTTCCATATAAATTTCAAGAGTGTTTGCTCCATTTCTTTGAAGAATGTCATGGGTATCCTTATAGGGATTGCATTGAATTTATACAATGCTTTCGGTAGTATTGCCATTTTGACAATGTTAAGTCTCCCGACCCATGAGCAGGGGATATCTTTCCATTTCCTCATGTCCTCTTTTATTTCCTGAAGTAGCGTTTTGTAGTTTTCTTTGTACAGGTCCTTTACTTCCTTAGTTAAGCTGATTCCTAGGTACTTGATTTTCTGGGGCACAATTGTGAATGGGATTGTTTTTTTCATGTAAGCATCAATGATTTTAATAATCTATGAAATCTCTTTATCATCCCAGTTTTATGAACAAGAGCTCTGTGAGGGCTTTCCACATGTATTCTGACTACACAATTAGCCTGCTTTTTAATATATAATTAGTAAATACTTACAAATTAGTAAATGCTTTCCCATACATATAGGCCGATAGTCTGTGAATTAAATGGTATGATAACTTCCTAAACTAGCTAGTCAGTTTGTATCTTACACAGGTTGCAAATTTGTGTTATATTCCAGAGTTTATCTAGAAATAAATGAAGTTCTCAAACATACATTCTCTCAAAATAATCTATTATATTCATCCTTTTTTTTTTCTATAGCACAGTGGATAGGGCATTTGCCTTACACGCAGCCAACATGGCTGACCTGAGTTCGATTCCTCCGCCCCTCTCAGAGAGCCCGGCAAGCTACCGAGAGTATCTCGCCTGCATGGCAAAGCCTGGCAAGCTATCTGTGACGTATTTGATATGCCAAACACAGTAACAAGTCTCACGATGTTACTGGGCCCGCTCGAGCAAATCGATGAACAACGGGAGGACCGTGGCTGTGACCGAGTCACACCCAGAGACGCTTAGGGGTTACTCTAGGCTCTGCACTCAGGAATCACCCCTGGTGGTGCTTGGGGAACCATATGGGATGCTGGGAATCAAATCTGGGCAGTTGTGTGCAAGGCAAATGCCCTACCCACTGTGCTATTGCTCCAGCCCCAATATTATATATTACTTCTGTTCTGGGATTCTGAAGATTTTCTTAGGTTTCCTTAGATAATCTGAGTTGTCCTCAGTTATCTATTCCATTTCTTCACATTTTTATTCTATGCAGGTAGCCCTCACATCTTTCTCAGAACTCCAGTCACTTTCTAAGCACTTAAAGGGTACAACTTTTGGTATTACAACACACATCCCATCTCAGATTTCTACAATCAATTTTGCCTTTTCTGCTTCTCTGGAGCAATACATGTATTTCCATATCTACATAATTTGCACATACTGCTTTGAAATGCTATCCTTTTCTCTTCTTGTAGACATTCCTATCATTCTTCAAGAATGAGCTCATGTTTTACTATGAATGTTTTCTCAACTCTTTCTTCCAGACTTAATGGTATTTTTTCTGTTATGAATCACTTATCACACAAGAAAAGGATTTTTGTTCATCTCTATCTCAATTTAAGATAATGAAGACAAAAAGAAAAAAATTATTTTTGTTTATGGGTCACATTCAGCAGTGTTCAGGACTTACTCCTGGCTCTGTCTGTGCTCAGAGGATCATTTGAGATGCTGGGAATTGAAACTGGGTCAGCTGTGTGCAAGGCAAGTGCCATACCAGCTATACTATCTCCTGGTCCAAGATGTAAATTTTAGTTATTTATTTATATGCACCTGGAAGCAAAAAAGCACGAACTTTGACTACTTATTTAAATGTTTCAGTTACTATTTCAAATTCTTCAGCATGCCCAAAAGATGACATCATCCTTAAATATTCACTATTATCCTGAGAATTTGTCTTGCTTCTTTGTGAAAATATGAGCTTTAAATTTTAAAACAATTATTAAGTTGTATGAAATTACAGAAAAGGAAATAATATATTATTTTCCTTTTGAAATCAAATACATAATGTCATCAGATGATCAATGTTATAGATAATCATCCTTAAATTAAACTTTATTAAAAGGAAGATAGTAGGAATAGAGCTAGTTCTACTAATATATGCTTAGGCTAACATTCTACAATGGTAAACTTCATTAGACTGAAATAATGAGTTTGGGGAGGTAGGAAGGAAGAGAAAGAAACTAGTATGAATTGTGGAAGTCAGAATTTATTAAAAGCAGTGTAGCTTTATTACTTTTAATACTCATCTGCCAATAAAGTCTAAGGAGACATCTGCATGCATTCTTAATTTATAACTGAAAACTCACTGCTTAAAGACCAGTGTATATATACTATAGCCACAAAAACAATTCTTCTGTTGAACTAAATGTCAAACATTCCCTTTCTTGAGCTTATCATTTCTCTTTATTAGAAATAATTCAAATGTTAATTTTCATACTAGTCTTGGTCAAGGTGTTAAAAGTTGCGTATTTGAATTAGTAAGGTTCTATTGCGTTATAGAGATAGATATTTCTGGAAAATAAAATCACAGTCCAATGTTCTGTACAGAAGTATTGAATACCATTTAAAATGAGAAAAAATGCAAAATTTTCATGTAAGGTAAACATTAGTTAGTTATGAAACCAGTTATAACTGAAACCTATTTCCAATGTCTTTAGTTTCCTTTGTACATTATTTTAGGACAAGGTTCATGGCTTTCTTCCTTCTATACCCCATCTCAAAGACAATAAACCCCAACAATGACTCTTACTCTGTGAATTCTGCATTGTGGTGGTGATTATTATTTTAAGAAGATGTTTTCAGTGTCCTAATAATTAGTTACAAGTTTTTCTGACATTCTAGCAATTGTTCTGCTAATCTACAGCTACTTAAGAATAAAATATTATGTAAAATTTACTCACGGATTCTGGCTGCAGGTCCCAAGTAGTTTACTGGCTCCCATCCTGGTAAAAAAGAAAAAGAAAATTAGTATTTCCATCACATCAGAATCACTAAATTTCTTTTTAAATATACCTCTAAGTCTTTGACACTTTATTTCTAGCAGCAAAAATCATGGGAGGGAGAAAATTATGATATAGATCATAACATCTTTTGTGCTTATGGACGAATAAAGTGGTGAGAGGCTTGGGATCACTGGCATTAAGCTTTTAACTTTGCCATAAAAAGACTACATTTGTTTATTTATTTATTTATTTATTGTGCTGAGATAAAAAAAAAAACAGGTCTTTACCACTGAGCCATATCCTTAGCCTGAAAAGGTAGCTTCAGTTTAGGAGCTTTTCATCAAAGGCATGGACCTAGGAAAGGAGGGAAGAAGTAGCTGCAAAATATTCATCACCAGGAAAAAATTTTCTTAGATTATTTGCAATAGACTACACATAAGTGTGGTAATATGCAACTGCATTTTCTTTTCAAAATTTCTGTATAAATCTTAGTAAACATGAATTACATTGTTACCCTAAAATACATTGAGTAACTAGAATAAATCTCTGAGTGAAATTACTACTAGGATAAGTATGATGTGCATCTTCTGAAGGGAGTAATATAAATATTTTTTCCTTTTCCATATATTTTTTTCTGTTCTGAGCATTGAACCCAGGGTCTCACACATACAAAGTAAATGTTCTTCCAGTGACCAACATCTCTGGTGTGCAGTGCCATCTTTGTATGGCTAGGTTTGTGAGTCCTAGGGTGAACTGAACTGGACAGAAGAAAAAATCTTGGAAATAAATCTGGATATTCAAATTGCTCAGAACTAAAGGTAGTTAACTCTGACATCAAGAGATCTAAGAAAAACACATCTTTCAGCGAGTAATTTTACATCCTCATAATCAAGAAAGGCCTGTTTTGTAGCAAAAGAAGTTGCTAATGGTTCAGACGGAGATTGCAGTGGATAGGACATTTGCCGTGTGTGCAGCTGACCATGGTTTGATCCCTTGCACCCCATGTAGTCCCTGAAGCCCTCCAAGAGTGATCCCGGAGTGTAGAACTAGGTGAAAATCCTGAAAACCACTAGGTGTGGTCCCCCAAACAGAAAAAATTGTAAAAAAGGAAAATGCTAAATATAACACAGCTTACTTTTCCTTGTTTAGTTATCTAAAGAAAGAGGCAATCCTCAGATCATTTTGAGAACAATTCTAGCAAGATAGTAATATATCATTATCCTTTATTTATCTAGATTAGTTACAATTCTTCCCTTAAGCAACATTGTAGGGGCTGGAGAAATAGCACAGTGGGTAGGGCATTTGCCTTGCATGTGACTGACACGGGTTGGATTCCCAGAATCCCACATGGTTCCCTGAGCACCGCCAGGAATAACTCCTCAGTGCAGAGCCAGGAGTAACCCCTGTGCATTGTCAGGTGTGACCCAAAAGAGCAAAAAAGTCAAAACAAAACAACAACATTGCAACATTGTAAACTATACAGATTTCATATAATTTTAACATAATATATAGCATGCAAAATATATATTGACATACATTACATCGCTGTCACGGCAAAGCCTGGCAAGCTACCCGTGACCTATTCGATATGCCAAACACAGTTACAAGTCTCACAATGTTACTGGACCCTCTTGAACAACATGAGGATAGTGACAGTGACTACATTACATAATTGTATACATTGTTTTGTTCTCTGCACACTGTCTTTTGAAAGAATATCTTTTGCAAAGTTTAAGTTTAAAAACTTAAACAACAAAAAACAAAACTTTAGCAAGTTCTTAGAATAGTCAGATTTAAGCAATGGTAAGATTTATTCCCTGTTCTGCTAGCCTGCTTCATTAAATAAATACTATCAGTATGACTCATTTATATTACTGTTCTTATAACCCCAATTGAGACAAAGGATCCTTCTTTTCAAATTAAGCTTTCACCAAATTTTATTTGTGCTAAAATATACCAGTTATACTATGTCAACTAACATTATTCCACCTTTGAATGCTTTAAAATATACCCTGGAGCATTTTGAATTTCATTACTATGATTTTCCTGGTATAAGGTAGCAGCAGCTACAATTGATTTAGTAATTTCTGCATTTTAGATGAAGGTATTTATAAGTCATTTGTAGAGCTCATCAATAAGTTATGAGTCCTATAGTACAACTGATCCCCACAGGTTGGAACTTGATATCTAACTCACCACTTCAATCCACTTTGATGTAATTGCAACTCTCTATTTACTTGCTCACCCATGTAACAGTAGCATGATTAAGGTCACACTTTGATAAGAATTTTGTTTAGTCTAGAACTCAAAACCTTCCTCTGTACAAAACTGATTTTATCCAGCAAATTCTCATTGTTTGTATAACCTGTCATGCAAGCATGGGAAGAAATTAAATTGATGTGGAAAAAAAGGCTATTTAGAAAGTCAAATGCTAGAATAAAGATAGACCTTCTGATCAGTGGGTTAGAACGGATACTCTATGACAAAACCCCATATATATGGGCAGTTAATTTTCGATAAAGCTGCTGACAACATGAAATGGAGTAAAGATAGCCTGTTCAACCAATGGTGCTGGGAAAGTTGGATAACTACATGTAAGAAACTAAAGCCGGATCCATATCTTACACCTTATAGGAAAGGGAATTCTAAGTGAATCAAAAGACCTTGAAATCTGACCAAAAACTATAAAGTACATTGAGGAAAATATAGGCAAAATATGTCAAGATAGGACAACAAAGGTGCTTAAAATGATCAGAAACCACTGACAAAGGTAACAATAAAAAAGAAAATAAACAAATGGGACTACATAAAGTTAAAGAACTTCTGGATGCGAAGAGAAAGGGACTCTCCTTCACTGCTGGTGGGAATGCCCACTGGTTCAGCCCTTTTGGAAAACAGTATGGACACTTCTCAAAAAATTAGAAGTTGAGCTCCCATTCAACCCAGCAACATTACTTCTGGGAATATATCCCAGAGAAGCAAAAAAGTATAGTAGAAATGACATCTGCACTTATATGTTCATTGCAGCACTGTTTACAATAGTCAAAATCTGGAAAATACCCGAGTGCCTGAGAACAGATTACTGGTTAAAGAAACTTTGGTACATCTACACAATGGAATACTATGCAGCTGTTAGAAAGATGGAGTCATGAAATTTCTATACAAGTGATTTTACATGGAAAGTATCATGCTAAGTGAGATGAGTCAGAAAGAGACATACATAGAAAGATTGCACTCATTTATGGAATATAAAGTTACAGAATGGGAGACTTACACCCAAGAATAGTAAGGCTAAGTACCAGAAGTATCACTGCACAGCTTAGAAGCTGGCCTCACATGCTGGGGGGAAAGGTAGCGCAGATAGAGAAGGGACTGTAAAAAAATCTTTAAGGGTGGCTAGGGGGGCCCTGACGGCTCTTCCCCTAGCCGCCCGTGATTCTAGGTGGCCCGGGCCATAGGGCAGACAGCAGACAAAACGAGGGTCAAGCTAGTTGATTGATCAGTTGCCCTTTATTCCATTCTCCCCACAGTGCCTGCCCCAGTCTCTCTGAGCCTCCTGTTCTGGTCTCACACTGCTCCTCATTCCCGTCTCCTGTCTCTCCCGTTCATCACTCCGTGCTCCATCTCGCAGCTTGGGCTCTCTCTCTCTCTCTCCACGTGCGTGCCTGCTCCTGTATTCTTTTTCTACTTTCTTCTCTCTCTGTCCCCCTTGCTAGCCTCTCTGTGGTCCATCTTGCCACCCTGCTCTCTCTCTTCTCTACAGCTCTCTTGTCTCTCTAACTCCCTGCACTCTGGGCTGACACTGCAGAAAGTCAGGTAGCAAAATCAACATAAGAAAGCCCTTCCTGAGGGCCCACCTAATAGGTATTCTAAAACCCTTTTTGACTGCCCCAGGCAAAATACCTCTTAAGGTATTTTTCTCTTTTCCTCAGTCCAAAAACTATCAACATATCAATACTAGCTATTTTTGTATGGACACAGTAAGAGATAATATTGAGACTTGTAGGGCAGCTCTCCTGGGAACATCTTGCCACAGACACAGACTATAGTGCTCAGGCCAAATTAATAATTCCTAACCCTAGCAGGGTCCAAATCTAGTTAGTACTTTTGGATCATGACCGCATTTGTCAATGACCAAGCTCTTAACTTATAGTTAAGCATTATGGCGCTTTGGCCAGGTCTATCTCGATGCCAGGGTAGCACATAGCTTACCACTTGCCCTGGTTCCATCCAGTCCCTCGTCGGGACCATGCTTTTGGGGGCGCTAGGAAGTAAAGGCAGCTGAGGCTTCTGTGAGAGAACAGATGCCCAGGAGGAAAATATCACTGAGAGTCACATTACAAAAGCATGTCTTCTTATGTCCATACAAAAAGGACACTGCTCTGAATAAACTATGCAAAGGACTTAGGGAGAAGAGAAAAACAATATTTACAAGTCAAAAGAACACAAAGAAAGAAGTTACAAATAAACACAGAGGAATGGGAGCACTGTGATGGGAGCAATCCAATAAACCTAAACTACCCGAGGCTATGCAGGAAGGACAAAACAGTGTTATCCTACAAGGGACCACCAAGTAAAGGGTGCTTGGGATGGGAGATGTGGGTTGCAAGTAGACTATAGACCAAACATGATGGCCACTTAATACCTCTACTGCAAACCACAACACCCAATGAGAGAGAGAGAGAGAGAGAGAGAGTGAGAGGTAATGCCCTGTCACAGAGGTGCAGTAGGGTGGAGAGGGACAGAGTGGTGGTGGTGTGAAGGATACTGGGACCATTGGTGTTGGGAAATGGGCACCGGTGGAGGGATGGGTACTCGATCATTGCATGACTGAAACACAAGCACTAAAGTTTGTAAGCCTGTAACTGTACCTCATGGTGATTCACTAATAAAACCATCAATCAAACAAACAAACAAACAAAAACAAAAACAAAAAAGAAAAAAGGAGTCATCCCCTGTGGATAAAGGCAAGCAACTACACTGGCTTCAACAAATTCAGG